CTAAATTGAACAAATAAGGCATTCTCTCAATTTGAAGACTGAAATACCTAAAATGCCCTCAAGACAAAATTGTAATAAATAAATAAAAATTTAAAAAAAAAAAAACCCCGAGAGAGATTCTTAAGGGCCTTTTGGGGAATTTATAAAATAATTTGGTCAAAACCGACTATCAATGGATATTAGGAGACAATTTGCACATATTTTTTTAAAATGTCAATGATTAATATGCACATACTAAAGTACATGGGTGTTTTTTGGCACAATTTTTATATTGCATGTGGTTTTTTTGTACTTTACCCTTCAATATATAATTGATATTGTATAATCATTTTTGCTTTTTTTTTTAAAGTCTTAGTCAACATGGCCATTATGCATATTATGTTCTTAAGGAGATTCAAACAATCAACCTCCTCCTTTAGAACGAAGATATCAAAATTTTTATTTATTATTATTTTTTTTTAGAGCACATGTATTAGTCCTATAAGACACGCACCATTCAAGTTAGGAATACGATTTAAAAGTGAAACTTCAAAAATTTACCTATCGAATTCCTGTAACTATATTGATTTTTGTAATGTATAATCAATTTTCAATTCTTACTAGTGTATGCATTTCCTAATAGTGTTTACATCAACTACACAACTTTAAAGCTGCTACATGCTCCAAACTTGTCTTCATTCAGCTAGGAAACATTACATATAATTAATTAATACCCATTTCATGGAAGATCTTAGTGTGTACCAGCAATATTTTTATATTATATATAAACATATATAATATATATATATATATATAGAGAGAGAGAGAGAGAGAGACTGTCCATGCCAGTGTCTCTAGCGCCATTAAAGGTTGGCCCCTTGAAGATGAAAATATTGGCTCTGGCTGGCACTGCCTCCGCCCATGTTTTTTGATTCATTTTCAGTTTCTTGCTAAAACAAACATTTAGTAGGTGGACCCTTTGGTACCTACCGCATTGACATTCATGGTTGTGCGGCGTGCCTTCTTAAGATCCATGGTATAATTTATTGTTTAAGTTTACTCTCATGTCATCTTGATTCATGAGTGATTTGTCATCGTGGTATCTTTCGCGGTATAATAAATTTAAATAAATATTAATATAAATTGATTGAATGAACTAATTTACGAAAATATAATAATATTGAATTCTTAAAAAAAAAAAAAATTAAAATAAAAAAAAATAAATTAAGAGTTAATTGATCGATACTGGAAACCATAATTATTATATTCCTTTAATTGATTCTAATTATTGTAAGACATTGTTCAGGAGCTCGTGCACAACTAAGAATTAAAATGTTCTTTTTTAGGGCTGTCTTGCACAAAAACTTTGTTTTTTTTTAAGTCTAAATCCAACCTGTCCACGACAAGCATGTAATGATGTTTTTTGACTAAACTCAAAGGATGAAGAATTTGCAATCAAATTATCTTTAACTTTTTCCAATTATGAATTAGGAAGTTGCTATTTACTTTGCAATATTTTCCACAAGAGTTGCTATCTTTTTGACCATTAATTAAGGCCTCAACTGTGGCCCTTTTTAATCCAGATATTATGGTTATTGTTGTGTCCCCTTTTGATAAGACCCCTCTTCTTCACTGTCCAATCAAGGCTGGTTAACTTTCCTCTTCCCATATATATATATATATATTTTTTTATTCTTGTACCTTTTATCATTAAATAAAATCATGAACTATTTTCGACCCCCATTTGTGGAGAAACTCACCAAATCTCATGAATTTATGAACATACAATATGTCTGATAAAAGGTTATTATTTGGGCATTACTCGAGGTGATCTAATTGACATAGTCCAACTTTCAAAAACGATATATTTGAGTTTACCCTCTCTTAAGTTTGTCAGGAATTTTTATTATTTTTTTTAAAAAAAGGGTTATTTTCCATTTTGGTTTAGGTTAATAAAGGGTGTTAGAAGGGATAAACTATATATAAATTTGAACTTTGATATTTTTTTTATATAAATCATAGTCAAACTTATGCAATAAAGGGGAAGAAAAAAAAAAAAAAAAAAAAACAAACGGAGGAAGGTAAAAGAAGAATAAGGGAGTAGGATTCTCTTGTTTGGTAGAGGAAAAAGACCAAGAAAAAGCAGAGATTAGAGGAGGTTTCCCTAGGGATAGACCAATACGTTTCCTTTATGGACTGGAAGAGGAAGTTGTCTTTCTTCTTTAATTTCTTTATTTTTACTTTTTTACCATTTTCAAATATAAAAAGAAAAATTTAAGAATGGGATGAGTCGAACCTAACGCCCCATGAATCAAATGTGCAAAAAATGCATTTCTCTTTCTTCCGTTCCTCCTACATTTCCTTTTCTATTAGCTTAGTGTAATAGGTGAACACTTGTCCATTTATCCAAAAAGTCAAGATGTTGGGTAGTAATACATAACCATTCATTTATACCCATATCATTTCTCATCCAGATTCGATATGGGACAAGTCTCCCCTTATAATATTTTCCCTCACTCGAATTTGCAAAGCTCTCGTTGCGATCGAGCCACCCTACCTTCTCGGGATGGCTCACCCGGACGCCTTTTGGACCGGTCAGTTGGCGTGGCACCGGATCGAGTTTGGCTTTGATACCAACTGTAACGGGTCGATTGTTCATTTACTCAAAAACTTAAGTTATTAAGTAATACTGCATACCCACCCATTTTTACCCATGTCACTTTTCATCCAGATTTGATATGGGACAAATCTCCCCTTATAACACTTAGCATTAAAGATATAAGAATATCTTTAGATGCAATTCCCGACTCATTTTATGCTCATGTGTATATTTGCAAAAATGTTTAGCAATTAATTAAGAGATTAAGCAATAGTTTATTTGCAATTATCCCAACTAAATTAGACTTTTTAAAATATCTTTAGATGCAATTCCCTACTCATTTTATGCTAATGTGTATATTTGCAAAAATCTTTAGCAATTAATTAAGGGTGTGTTTGGTAGGGTTGATTTGGAGGGATAAGGAGATAAAAGAAAAGAAATGATAGTGTGAGAGTGTGTTTGTGTGGGTTAAGTGGAGAGAAAAGAGAGGATAGGGAGCTATCCCTCCCTATCCCTTATATGCTTTCTTTTCCAATTTGAGTAGATAGGGAGAGAAATGATAAGGAGAGAAAAGATATTGGAGTAAGTTATAAATTATTGATACCAAAAATGCCCTCTACAAATTAACATACAGAAAGGTAATTCTATTTATGTCCCAATATGCTTAGTGGAATGTAAGGATGTATGACAATGCTAAAAGTTGTTAAAAATTTTAGGATGGAAAGGGATTGAGTCAGATAGATATAACAGATACAATAAAAATAAATTTTTCACATACTCATAAAAAAGATTAAAGACTGTTATTACCTTCAACCATGTTGAATGGTTCATCTTAGCTTTGTAATACTTTTTTTTTTATTTTATTGTACTTTTGTTTTTACCCATGGCATTGAACTATAAAAAAGAAACAAGATTATGGAAATGGATAATGAATGCGGTGGTTATAAAAGGGTATGACAGTAATTTAGTCACTATCCTTTATTTTCTTTTATCTCCTCTATCTTATCCAAATAAGAATAACTATCATTTCTTTTCTTTTATTCCTTATTTATCTAAACATCAATAAAAATTATTACTATCCTTCATTTTTATTTTTTTCTCTCTTAATTAATACTATTATATATTTTTTTTCTTCCCTATTCACCCAAACACACCTAATAGATTAAGACAATAGTTTCTTTGCAATTATCCCAACTAAATTAGACTTTTTAAAATGAATAAGACAATAACATCATGATTATATATAAATAATCCAGTTGACAATCACTGATATGATTTGATCACCTAGGATGGTGGGCCCACTTTATTATTTGGCATACCATTGTCAATCACTTAGCCTTAGCTAGTGTGATTCTTGTGAATGGATTGTGCACTTAAAATCAAAGTGGGATTACATTTTGGCTGTTCAATTTAGACTTGTGAATAATTCCCCATTGAAAGATGTGGCTAACTCAACTTTATTTGGTACAAAAAAACTCCAGCTTTTCTGCAACAATTTGTCATTGTCTTCTCCACGTCATGCAGTAAAAATAATAGTATATTTCAAGATTTTGCAATTGAGCTCTCAGTGTGAATACGATGTGTACACACGTGTGAGAATTCTCTCCCAATCAATGCAATTGATTAGTTTATCTCAAGTGCCCGCACCAGGACATGGAATTGCTTTTAGGTCCAACATTACAGCAAGTGGAATAGATTTTTTTAGCAAAAAGGGTTTGCAAAAAAAGGGGACAAAGGCCTAACTAATTATGACCATTAAACGCTAAAATAAATCTTAAGTCCTCATATGAGATTCTCTCACTCTTATCTCAACCCCCTTTCTTCAATAATACGAGGGAATGTCTGTGCCTTTGGAGAAAGCTCAGATGATAAAAAGGAGAGATGGTAATGATGGTGTAATGCAGATTGAGGTGATCAAAAGAGAGAGTGTGGTCAAACTAAGCCCCTTTTTGCATTATTGCAACCATTGAGCTGGTTTTGTACTTTGCACGACCCTTCAAAATATATATAGAGGGTATAATATCGGACGGATCCCATCACTCACGTGTGCAACTCATAAGAGTCATTAGTTGCAATCGTACAACATCCAATGGCATCTTATGTGGTATATCCAACGGATTCCATCACTCACATGTGCAAACAACGGAATGACTACAATCCAGTCGTCCAGCATCAAATAGCATCTTATTCCATCACTCACACGTGCAAATGATCCAACGGATTCCATCACTCACACGTGCAAATGATGGGAGCCAGATACAGGTATCTAAGAGGACAGAACCTTCTACGTCGCCAATCTCATTCCACAAAACTTATGGAAGGATCCAATCACTCACGTCTAATCGCTCACACATAGAAGTTATGGGATCCAGCACCCGCTCTGTACTGCAAAGGATGGATGCTCATATTGGTAAACCTTCTATGTTGCCAATATCATCCCACAAAACTAAATCATTATACCCTCAAATATCATTCCCTCCATGAGCAAAATTTTCATTTCAACATGAACCAAAAGTTTTAGTTAGATAAAAAAGCATGCAACACCTGGTTACAGACAGATGACTTTTACCTACCCAAAAAAAAGGTAAAATAAAACAAAATAAAACTGGCTCCACATTTGTCCTTCAGTTGATCCCCAATTTCATCCACTAACACCATAAATAAGTAAGAAAAATCCTACATTTTCCTTTTTTCTCCCCCAAAATAAGTTTCTTACCATTTTTCTTTTTCGTGTTCATGTTCATGTTCATGCTGAGCAGTTAACAAAAATACATAAAAGTTTTAGGTGTCATTCCAAGCAGCAAAAACAGGCAAGTGAGCCATGGTGATTGAGTCAGGCCTCATCTGTGCTGATGGAATCCAAGAATTAACATTGGTTGCAGGGCTCATGAACTTAGATCCCAATGGAGGCTTTGCAAAGAGCATAGAGAGGCCGGTTTTATCAGGGCTAGCCTCCCTTGAGCTGCTCAAGCTAGTCACCAATGACGACGGATTTGAGAAGTGAGTCCGGGCTGCTTCCTCCACCATTGTCTGGCTAGCGTTCACCGACTCGATCCCAATCAAGTCTTGTAGGGCTGCAGAGAAAGAAGTGCTCGAGTTCCGGTAATGCCCTCCAATGCTCATTTGCTTCCCATCAAGTGACTCCACACAAGCATTTTGCTGCTGCTGATCAGGGGACTGATGAAGAACCATTTTCCAATCCGAACCATTCCTAATGTCGGTCCCTGGTTGAACATGCTGCTGATCCACATTGCTCTGAGTTGATGGGTTGTACTCAATGGCCTCATTGCTTGGTTCAATCACTTTGGTTCGCTTAGCAAGCTCACCGGCAAGCAGAGTACTGCTCGCTGTGATTCTCTCCACGTCGTATCTTGTAATGTCAAAGTTCGTGACAGCATTCACGCCACGAAACTTGATGGCAGCTATGTCATAAGCTTCAGCTGCTTCCTCTTGAGTGCCTGAAATATAAGTCCAATGCGAGAGGTTCATACAAAGATTGCAATAATACTTAGATCTTTGCCAAAAGGATATAATTCTTAAAATATTAAGCCTTCAATCAACAACTTTATCCACAAATTGCTTTTGTTTTCCTTTATCATCTTTAACTGAGAGAAACAGCCTTAAAAAAGTTGGAAGTGTTACCAAAAATTCCACAAAGCAACTGATCATCAGCACTATAAAAGCAACACTACTGGCTCAAGAAAGAGAAACATGAGAGCAGAGAATGACATTTAAAAAAAAATTAAATAAATAAAAAACTCCCTCCAAAAATCTTAAAGCACACCAAGATCCTAGAAGAGACAACCATACAACTTTATACTGTTAATACTTGTTCATATTATCATGAATATGGAATTTAAGAACTAAATAATCAAAAAAATTCATTAATGAACTACATTTTAAAATTATTGAAGATTGGAAGTGTACTCACTGAATGTCCCAAGATAAAGGTCCTTGTTTCCTGCTACGCGGCCAATCCGAGCTTGCCATCTTCCATGCTGGTGATGCCTGTGTATATATATATATTCAGTTGTTATATATATACTATGAACCAGCAGAAAATGATGTTCAAAGTAAAATAATTAACTATAATAGAACCTTGTCACGCCACGGTACATCGAAGCCCCTCTAGAAAAACCACTACTTTTCCTGGAAAATAAATGGGAAAAATATGAAGATTACTTTTATAAATTAATAGGCATAGGCACAATTTTAGAAGGATTTGTTAACAATTTTACCTCCTCAAGTGAGCAACGAATTCTTGACGGCTCATGTTCTTCATTTCCTCGAGCTCTTGCTGGTAATTTTCCAACTGTCCAAAACAGCACAAACATTAGGTTTTGGTCAATCTGAGAAGCATCAACAGACTAATAGAGTGGGATTGAATCGAATCGTGTACCGGGAAGTTAATATGGGTTGAAGGTCCCCAATACTTGAGAGCAGCAAGATCATAGGCTCTTGCAGCTTTCTGTTCCATATCATAACCCCCTGAAATCCATATGTTGGAGTGATTAATCCATATGAACATGGTTATTCATAAATGTTGGTTATTGTTAAAAGAAAAAGGCTTACCCAGATAAACTGAAGAAATTGCATCGTTTGATTGGAATAGAGTCCCCAACAAGTGTGAGCATTGCAAGAATTAGCAAGCAATAGTCAGATAAAACATGCCAGTCCAAAAAGCAATACTTCCAAATGAGATAGTGTAAAAAGCTGTTTTCATTGACTAACCTTGCCTTCCTTTCCTGGTCTGCCCTTCCTTCTTGCAACTATTGTCCCACAAATGAGCTTCATATCTACCAGTCCATCTATGTCTGAGGGAGGTACATAGACATGGATTACTTCAGGGTAAGAAGAGCGCGCACACACACACACACACACACACACACAAAACCTACATAATAGCAGAGATAAATAGGTTTAACAAACATAAATAGGCATGAACTAACCTTGTGACACCTCTATACTGTGATGTTCGCTGGCCAAATGTGTCAAGGGACTTCCTATGGATAGGTTGCTTTTGAGCCACTTTTGAAGATCCTCTCTTCTTTGTTTCCATGGCCATACATTCAGCACCAGGAGGTGAGATCTGCCTTGAAGTTGTGACACAGCTTGACTGAGAGCCAGGGCTCATTGACAAGCTCAGAGACTGTAAATCACCACAACCCATTGTTGCACCAACAGAACCAGAAGCTCCTCCAACCTCATCAACCATCCCAACACTGGTGTTCATCTGATGCTGCTCCAGTCCATGGTGGTCTGAAAAGTGGCCAGACACCCAGTTTTTAAGGCAAGAGATCTGGTTTTCACAGTCTGCAAGCTGATCTGTTCCCTTGGATTCCTCCTCCAATGGAGACTGGTACATCACATGGCATGGCAGGCTAGTATAGTAAGGGTGGTTTTGAACATCAATCCCTTGTTCTTGTTGCTGATGCTGCCTATAGGGCTCTTGAAGTAGGTCTAGGGAGTGTTGCCTGCTGCTTTCAGGCTCAGCATTTTGGTGGTAATACGTGCTGTCTAAGCTAAGAGCCATTGCCTCCCCCTCATGGCTTCCATATTGATGGGCTGCCATTGTTGCACCACCTAAAAAGTCCTCCAGTTTAGGTGAAGAATCTGGCACCATCCCTTCACACACAAAAAGGGTAAAATTAAAATCACAAACACATAACATAAAAAATAAAAAATAAAAATAAAAATGAAAAAGTACCAAGTAAAAATAAAAAAAACAGTGCTGCAAAACATAGGAGAAAAAAATTATACAGAAAGAAAATTAACCTTCTTGATGAGATCTAGTGAGGGCTTCCATGATACAGAGAGAGCCATCTGACTTGAGTGGCATTACAGACAAGGATGAGGTAAAGCCACCATTTTCTCCAACCCCAAAACAGATTGCAGGACTGTTGAGGTGAGAAGGAGAGAGGTAGAAGCTTGCTGGAACAGCAGTGGCTGCAGTAGCAGCCTGGCTTTGATGATGATTGTACTGATGATGCTGATGCTGAGGGTCTGAACTAACCTCCATTTTCATGTGGGGTGAGAGAGAAAAACCCAACCAGTTATTATTACTATTGCTGCCATTGTTATCCTCATTCATAGACTTCATCTTCTCTCTCTCTCTCTAGCTTCTTTTTTTTCGATTCTCAGCACTATATATATATATATATGTATATATATACTATGTTTGAAACAACTCAATCATTGGGTAGAAAATAAACTAATCATTTCAAAAGAAATATCTTTCCTACCCCCCTCCTGGTTTTCTGTAGTCTAGTTACAGAACTCTTGAAGCCCAAGAAATATAATCCCAAGAGCCAAACAATCTCTCTCCTATCTATGCAACCCTTCGTCTCAGTTCCCTCTCTCTCTCTCTCTCACTTCTCAGTGAAGAGAACAAAGTCGGTTCCTTTGAACTAAACAAAAAGAATAAATTCCAGCAAGCGATGCTGGGAAGCACCCCTGCATTCCATAGGGATCTGTGTATATATATAGATATATATATATATGTAATATGTATTAGAAAAACACCATTCTTTTCCTTTTCTTTTTCCTCTGACTTCTTTCTCTCCTCTTAACAGGCCCTTAAACCCTACCTAAAACCCACTGTGCAGTAAGACCCTAAAACTAAAACCACCCATTAACATATCCCTTCTTCTCAAATGAGCTCATCAAACTTTCTCATTAACTAGAAAATCCAAGATGGGTATAAAGCATAAGTCTCTCTGGTCAATTCAAATCTAGTGGGATATGTAATAGCCAATGAAGAGAGAGGGTGGTCAGAGATAAATAACCAAAATGAGTTGCTTTATTTTATTTTTTACAGTCCACACAGCATTGGATAGATTTGACGCGCAGGACATTGCCCATCCAGTCACTTCACACAGTACACAACTTTTCTGCACACACAGAGTCTGCAACTCTTCAAAGGGTCCAATATTCAGAACTAAATGTTTCTCAATTCAACTTAAATACTCCCCCATCCAGCTTGGTTCCAACTTTCAATTCAAAACCAATGGAAGCAAAGTTAGTGTCACATCTCTCAGTGAACATGAAATTGTCACAGCCTCACACATCACCATAGAATTTATTTTGGGAAGAAAATTAAAAGTATCCAATGTGGGCCCTCTCTAACATGCAGAATGCAGAGCCTTGATCTTGCCAAGCCTCACCATAGATGAAGTGATGGGTGCTACAGATACATCTGATGTTAGCACAGTGAATAAAAGATTCAAAATACAAGTATTGACACACAGTGTCACACACATAACTCTCATCGGATTAAGTTTAAAAAGAAACAGAGAATGATATCTAATTGTTATCTAATTGTAACCGGGGGCTGGGATCCTCTGTGCTACACCGCACCAGATGAATCTTAACATTTGCACGTGTGAACATTCATGTGTATGTGAATTGAATTTCGTTAATGATGGACATGCAAGTGGTGAGACTCGCCTGATTGATGTTATCCCACAAATGTTATAGTATTTAAAAGGGATTTTGATAGTTGAATTAACAATTCAGAATAGATTGAACTTACCTTTAATTTGCTTTTTATTTTTTAGTGAGCAATGGGTGTATAGTCAACACCTGCTTCCAGACAGAAAGTGGGAAGTGGGACTATGATTTGCTTGAAATATTCCAGGAATGATGAGCAAAGGGCCCCAAAAAAACAAACTTTTGGTGAAAAATGTTACTCACATCACATTTCTCATCCTATTACAATATTCAATATATTATTTATTTTATTAAAAAAATTTATAAAAATCCCTTTGTACACACAAATTTCACTCTCCCTATAGATGCTGTTTCTCCACATATTCTATTCTGTAAGAGAATGTTTCTCATGCACTTTCATTTTAGAGAATGTTAATTCTATGCCTATATAAAGGTGTATGTGGCACATCTTTCTAGCTTTGTTAGGCTGTACAATATTGAGTAATATTTTCCCTGGTTGTTTAATCATAATTCAGTAATTTAATGATGGGTTATCTTGCTTTGCACATGTTGGAATTGAAGAATTATTAGGGTTTTGCACTTTTTTTTAATGGTATTGTACAATGGTTATTAAAATTTCTTTTGCATGCATATGTGCATGAGAATTGAAGGTGGTATTCATGGAGACAGATTTTCCAATGTGAATGATTTGGTCTGAACATCGAAAAAATAAAAGACTTGAGTTTTAGGAGGGAAAGGAAAGTACTCTCCACTGGGGAAGTAGAAATAGGGGGGAGATTCTTTTGATTATGTGGTAATGATGAGTGAATCCACGACCTCTATCCATTGAAAGTGAAACAATGCAGTATGCCCATGGCCAAGGGGCACTGAAGAGTCTGGGCCACCTCTTAATTCTGGCTTTTTACTCTTTCATTTTCACCTGTTTTCTTATGGGTAAAAAATTAGGTTAATTTGGTGGTGAAACCTTCCTCCTCTTCCTCCACCCCATTTTTTTTTTTTAAAACCACATTCGTGTATATGTTTAAAGGAAAGATTGAAGGTTCTTCGAGTCTTGTTAGAAGTAATGCAGTGAATGTGTGTTTCCTTGAACTTTTAAAAAATATATATTATTTTAAATATATATTATATTTACATATATAAGGGAAATGTAATTAATATGTTATGTCTATAAATATTTGAAAGAATGTGAATTTAAAATTTGAATTAAATATTTGTTACAAAATAATTAAGTATCATAAATTTTGAAAAATTAAATCCATAAATGGTTTACAAATTTAATTAGATTTTTGTCTATGAAAATAAGGATTAATATTTGGTAAACAAATGCTATTGTAAAAGTTAACAAAGTCATTTGCATTTTGGTCAAATAGTTTATTTTCAAATTTATGCAGATCAAGGTACAAAAAAGTCATACTCCATTCACAATGAAAATCATCACCAACTATGCATTATATAATTTTTTTAAAATAATAATAATTATAAATTACATAATTAGTTCAATCAAAATAGTACTGCATTATAGTCCTCAGTCTTTCCTAAATTTTAACTAGGCCTCGATCCCGTAAATATTGTGTGCTTTGTACACTCTTTTCTCGATATTCATGGTTTTACTTGAAACAATTCTACATATTTAAGGGATATCCATACATATAAGTCTCAACAACTCCTCCTCTCTAAGTAATGTGGGACGTCACAATCAAACCTTTTTGGGACCCAATGTCCTCGCTTGCTTGACCTGTATTGGATTGTGCACGTCCCCCATTTTTGACTGGTGATGGGCTATGTTCTAATTGCGTGAACTCGACAGCCTTCCTTTCTCTCACAAGTGATAGCCCGTAAGAAATGTTTTTCATAAAATCGTGTTTTAAACTCATCCCAAGTCATAGCTACTATGTCCCCAACAATCCTAGTCATGGACTATCACCACTAGGGACTGAGTCAGAAATTTTTTTCAAGGGCACAGTATACACTAAATACATATAAATTAGTGTCTATGGAGTATATATACACATAAAGACATATATGTGGATATATATAGAGATTGATATTTTTGGAATGAGGTAAATTAATAAATTATATACATATAATATAATGAAACAATTTAAGAAAAAACATAGAAAGAAACATATATAGCATACAAGGGAACCATAAATTTTAGGGGAAGCATTTTTACGCATTTTCAAAAAATATATACATATTTTAGGAAAAAATATATATATATAAAATAAGGGAAAGAAAAAATCCAAAGGGGCACGTGCCCTCTGTTCCTATACTAGCTCCGTTCCTTGTCACCACTAACGCGTCTCACCATACAAAAAAACGTTGGCTACATCCTGTTATGCACCTCAATACAGTCCATTATCTCAAAACACTTCTCATCGATCCACTTCTCAGCATCAAGCGTATCGGTAACTCTAGTGAAATCGACAGCCCGTAGTCGACACATATTTTTTAATAATTGTAGTCATTAGACCTTGTCCTATATCAGGATTCGGCATTTGAGGTGCCTCGTCCATTTGAGTATTGCCACGATCGACGCTGCCACATGCTCTACCCCTACCACTACGTCATCTATCTCTTCCAGCTCCTGATATCCTCTTTGATTGAATGTTGTTATTAATTTAGTCTTAACAAGAATCATACCTAAGCTTGGGGCATGGTACAAAGCAAAAAATCTATGCATTTTACACTTTTCTTATCCTAATTATTACTTAAATCCTATCCTTATATCACTTTCTTTGCATACTCTCTTCTAAATTCTCACAATTTTACTCAACAGGCTCAACACAAAAAAATTAAAAGATTAAATTCTAATCTAACACACTAACCCAAAACAAAAAAAATCTACTGGGATCAAAGGATTTACTTGAGTTGTAGTGAAAGTCAACGCTGAGTTTTGCCATACACTTTGTTTTTAGACCATTAGTTTTTGTGATCGAGGTGGCAAATCATCTACCCTACAATGCGATGCTTGCTTGTGGATTTGAAACTTGAAAAACATGGATTTAACTATTTAAGATTAAAAGCGAAGAGACAGAAACAACATTCTGGCATAATTAAGCCCATTGGCCCAAAAGCTGTACCGTCTGGTCCAGTTCGGCTTTAAATGTCCAGTCATTTCCCTTTCACCTGAACCCTGAAGCCCAGTCCCATATATATATATATATACACACACACATATTACACACACAGTACACATACCTATATACACATATTACACACACAGAGAGAGGAGAGAGAATAAATGTAGGAAAAGAGTAAATGGAGGTTCACGTGATAAGTGAGAGAGAGCACACAAAATCCAAACAAAATCTAAGAAGATGGCAGCAAATAGGCCAATAAAGAAGGAGTAGGGCAGAAATAAAGTGGTTTATCTGATCCCATCATGTATGGCTACGGCCTACCTTAACTAAGAATGTGTCTATACATATATATAATACTCCTATATATATATGACAACATACATATCACTTATTTAACTTAAGAGAGAGATTTTTAATTTCACATTGTAGTTTTGAAAGTACGATAAGCATTTTAATTTCCAACCACCTACTACTGTTAAGAGAGAGAGAGAGAGAGAGTGGTGACAAATAGTAATTGGTTTTAAAACTTGACATGCTAAAAGGAGGAGCTTAATGAATTGGGTACGTCAATCTTGAGTCTCTCTCTCCTCCTCTCTCTCTCAACCAGAATTGATACGTCACAATCTAAACCTAAAACCTAATTGCCTAGGTCACAATCACCTTAGATTCTTTATCTCTGTGTGTGTGTAGTGTGTGACTGTGTGTGTATAGTGAAGCGGAAGAATCAATTCCAATATATCATACACACACTACCCCCATTCTGATAGTCCCCAAAACAGTGAAAAAATGGATTTTAATTCAACTTTCTGGTTCAAAAGAATTCAAAGAGCTAGGTTGTTGGTGCTATGATATGCTATGCTATATATATATATATATATATATAATATAATATATACACACACACATAATGTTTGCTGATTACAATTGCTTTTCTTTTCCCTTTGCCCTTTTCCTTTCATCATAAGAGATCAAACAATCATTTTAGTTGTTTTCTACAATTGTGTAGTGGGACTTTAAAGGCCAGACATATTTTGACCATAGTTCATGTACCTTTTTCAAAACCTTCTTCACAAATATGCAAAGGCTACACCTAATTAATCAAATTAGTGCCTTTTGTTTTCCTGCTAACATTGTTGATTAAAATTCGAAAATTTGATGCCATTTTGGTGCCTTAGAATGAACCCAAATTCCCTCCAGAACGAAAATTCAAAATCATGCATCCATCAACTAAAACTAGAACTAAACCATTTTCTCGTGCATCCGATCATTTTAGACTCTGTTGTTGTGCAACAAAATGATGGGTTAGATCAAAAATAAACATTGAAATTGTAGTAAGTGTACAGTGTGATTTACTGAGAGACAAGCATGGATAATTGGGACTGGGTTTGACTAAATCACACTGGTTTCAAAATTAAGAAAACTATGTACTGCTTTGGATCACCTGAT